CTGATGACTAATCGCCCTGGTTGACTAAGTGTTGCAGCCCTAATTAGAAGTGTAGCGCAGAAAAGTCATGACAGCTACACTTCCGCAGCATGCTGGGTGCACTGTGCTCATGCTTCTCCATGTCCATCAGGCCCAGTGAGGAAAGGAGGACGGACAGAGTGAGCTTCCTGGGTCCAGGGCTAACTGTGGTGCCACATGGCGAAGACCCTGCTCCCAATTAGCAGGGTCCATCTTGCGGTCAGTCGCGGGCATTCAGCAGGGCATGCACACGCAGAGGAAGAGAGAGAGCGGGAAGGGAGAGAAAGAGGAGAGAGAGAGCTACAGCACAGTTCAGAGTTGTCTGAGGTCAGCTAGAGGATTTCTCCGGCCTGAGGCAGAACGCAATTGTGTGCAGTGTGGATGTGAACTAGTCTTGTGGGGCCAGATGTGATCTCGTAACAAGAATATACGTCTAGGGACAGCTTTTAAAAGTTTCGGGGCTGGAAGAATACGCCTCCTCTTAAACCCATCCCCAAATTCCTCTAGTCTGTAAGCTTTTAACATCCCGAATACAATTGATAACACAAGCGAAACAAGCCTGCCTGCTCGCTTTCATGACAACTAGCCTATAAAAATATTTATAAAGGCTTTTTCCAAGAAGCGTCAGGCCGCTTTGGTCAGTCATGTCACTTCACTTCAGTAAGTGTTATGGCACCTAACGCTTGTTGGCACATCTACATGCTTAAGTGGAGTTTCTGGAGGACCTTTAAGCCATGCTAACTAACAAACAGGCTTGTTGTCTGTCGAACAATGCTGGCAAGCGCACCACCACTGCCCCCCACTTTGAGCTCCGCCTTCACGAGGCACTGCATGGGCTTAGAAATTTCACACGCTGTTTTCACGTTTGCTAAATTCTGCACTAGAGGCCCCTTTTCACTTAGTTTCATTTGGTTCGGTTGGTTCCAAACTGCAATGGTTGAAGTGCACCAAATTACACTTTGGTGTTCTTTGTATTGTTTATAGGTCAGAAATTTAGCAGGTGAATTTCCTGTTGGCCTTTCTGTTAATGTTTTGTGTGTGTGTGCAAGTTTAGGTGTGTCTTCTAAGCCTTCCAAAGGTCACTCAGACCTATCTGACCAGATGGCGCCACAGGTCTGTCTGAAAGATATTGTATGATAAAGAGTGCATTAAAGGGCCCATTTTCTACGCTTGGTATGTTTGGTTTTACATACCAAAAACAGTCGCAATTAATTTTTCTATGAACATTTTACATCCAACTTCTCTTTATGACAATTAAACAAGCTATATTTGTTACCGTGCCTTAAGACAGGCTCTGTTCTGATTGGTATTGTGCCTCATTCAAAAGCAGCCCAGGCTGAAACACTCTTGGTAACACTTTCTATGAATGTCACCTTTGTAAGCATCTATAAACACATTCATAACATGTTATAATGCATTCATAAGGCATTATAAACATGCCTATAAACATTTATTAAAATGCATTACATGTTATAGCCATGCTTATTATGCATTATGTATTGTTAACATAATACATTATAAGTACTGATCATAACAAATTATAAGAGCTCATAAGTCGTATTTCCGCTCTAAGTAAAGTGAAGCGTACTGTACTAAAGCCTCCTCCAGTGTTAAGAGTGAAGTATTTACTGAAGGATTTACTGAAACACTGAAACATACACAGTAAAGCACATTACAGGCTTCAAATGTCAGAGTTTAAACTAGAGCTGCCATCAGTGTTTTACCCAATGTGGGAAAGTCAATGTACACCACCGTTAGCTTGGTATTTGTCTTTACGCTCTCCAAGCTGGGACTGACTTCTTTGACACTGACAGTATAACATGTTATCAACACTACTTATAATGCATTATATTAACAATTCATAATGTATAATAAACATGGCTATAAAGTGTAATTTATTTTTAGAAATGTTTATAATCATGTTTATAATGCCATATGAATGCATTATAACATGTTCTAAATGTGTTTATAGATGCTTACAAAGGTGACATTCATAGAAAGTGTTACCACTCTTTATAACTTCTGCAGCAGGCTGAATGGGTGGGGCTAAACTGCTGTAGGCTGAACAAGAGGACATTATGTATATACATTGGTTTTTGTGACATCACAGAAGTAATTAACTCAAAAATTGCTGTTTTCATATATAGATGATATGAAATTTTGCAGGTAAATTTAGAAATTCAGCAGTGCTTACTTTCATGTTTCCCTTGGTTAACCATGCAATTTCTTATTTTAACTTTAACTGTCCCAATATAGTATAAAACCCAGATCTATCCTTTACTTATATTTCTTAACAAAATGTATACATGCACTGCAATAACAGCAATGAAAATATACCTTTATCTCTACTTCTTGAAAACTGGTTTAGTTGCACATCAGTTTGAATTCAACCAGTCAGGTTGCCAATGTCTGGCCCAATCTATCAAAAATACTTTCTGCAGTCCATGTGACAGGGTAAAATGCTTCAGTATTGCTTGTCTACCAGTATTACAGTAGCTTGTGCTGCGAGAACGATCAGCATCCATCAAGACTCAAATGTTAAACTGGCAGATAATGCGCTGACGTGCTGCTAAAAGAAGAGGAAGGACCACTCTGGTGCTGAATTTAATTGTTTGGTGTGGGCCATCATAATGCATTTCCACCCGCAGCATAGTGAAGCACAGGTTGCGTTGAAGTGGACAGAGACCTGTGTTTTTTTACTGGACCATGGCTCCTCTGTTTGGTGCAGAACCGAGTACAGGTGGAATGGTCACACCTGTCAAAACAAACCAAGCTAAAAACGTTTGACTGCCCCACACCAAATAAGGCAGGCATAAACACATCTTCAGTTTGTTCCAATTTACTACATTCCTGCCCACATTTAGCCCAAAATTTCTCATGGCTGTCCCCAGATGTTCTCATTACGAGATCACGCCTGGCCCCACGAGACTAGCTGCGAACTTGAACGCCGACGTACGGTCCAGAGCCGCTGACAGATCACTAAGCTGAGCCTCTGACCATGCTGAATTATTCATTCAGGCACATACACTCTCACTCTCACTCACTCCTGCGCACAAAGGGGCGAGTCTGTTTAATAATTCAGAAGGGACGGCCAGCTGCTGGCCTCCTACTACATTGTGCTCCAGAACAAGCTCGAGTGCACATGTGTAAGCTAAGCTTCAGGTGAGTGTGGGGGGGCATTGTTGTCATTGTATAATAAAAGGGAGCTCTGCTCAATGCGTGTGGCTGCGTAGGCGTCAGCGCAGTCAAAGACTCTCCTTCAGCTCAATACTGATCACAGTTCAAATGCTACACCATCAGGGACACAGCCTGCATACATGAGCGTGTGGCGAGGGTGTATGCTGTCTGTTGGCCTTTCTGTTAATGTTTTGTGTGTGTGTATGTTTAGGTGTGTCTTCTAAGCCTTCCAAAGGTCACTCAGACCTATCGGACCAGATGGCGCCACAGTAAAACTAGCACATGTCAATCTGAAAGATACTGTATAATAAAGAGTGCATTAAAGGGCCCATATTCTACGTTTGGTATGTTTGGTTTTACATACCAAAAACAGTCGCAATTCATTTTTATATGTACATTTTACATCCAACCTCTCTTTATGACAATTAAACAAGCTGTATTTGTTACTGTGCCTTTAAGACGGGCTCTGTTCTGATTGGCTGCCCTGTATTGTGCCTCATTCAAAAGCAGACCAGGCTGAAACACTCTTCATTATGTATGTACATTGTTTTTTGTGACATCACAGAAGCAATTAATTCAAAAATAGATATATTTGCAGCATATTGCATTGCATATGAATGCTATGGAATTTAGCAGGTACATTTAGAAATTTAGCAGCGCTTACTTTCATATTTCCCTTGGTTAAACAAGCAATTTCTTATTTTACCTTTCACTGTCCCAATATAGTATAAAATCCAGATCTATCAATTACTTATACTCCTTGACAATACATATATATATATATATATATATATATATATATATATATATATATATAATATATATATATATATATATATATATTGCAATAACAGCAATGAAAATAAACCTTTATCTCTTCTTCTTTATGAAAACTAGTTCATATTATATAAAGTGATATATTTGCAGGTTAGTTTCCATTTATGGGTGATACGCTTTCAATCTTTAACAATGTTTACATACTACTTCAAACTATTTTGTTTCAAAAAAAGAAAACACTTTGCTTTTCCACAGTATGGGCCCTTTAATACTGCACAACTAAAGAATATATTACAGCTTTTATCATCATGTGTAATTAAAGGGCAATTTACTATATCAGCACCATCATTAGCAAAGGTTAGGAGGAAATGCCTTTTTATGACTGATCACTCTTTTTTAATCAAGCAAAAAAGGAAATCGCCAATTACGCCGTAGCGTGAGTTTCCACATCTTGCACAGCCGAGCTGGATCACAAGCAGCTGTGAGCTGAGTCACACTGTGGAAAATACCATGAGATATACCGCTGACTGACTACAAAAGCACTCTCTGTCTAGGCCGGCCCGTCTCCCTCTCTTTCTCTCTCCCCCTCTGTCTCTCTCTCTCTATGCCAGCGGGAGAAAGGTGCACCGTCAGTAACTTTGCGCTTCGCATCTCTTTTTCTGCTGAGTCCAAAATCCCCCTCAGCTCGCCACCGTGGAGGCTGAGGTGTGTTTTATTACCGATCCAATGATTTTTAAATGAAATTTATACACTTTTAATGCACTGTTTGGCTGCGCTCCTGCTCGGCATAAGCGTGGGTGGCTCGGGATTAAACGCTTGCTCAGGCACAGAGAGACCACCTTCTGCTGAAGCAATGACAACTCTGAAGAGAAAGAGTGAGACAAAGAAAGAGAAAGAGAGAGAGACAGAAGTGAGGTAGAAGGAACAGGACTTTCAGTGCAATAGAGCTCAGGCGCGCATACACGCGCTACACGCACACACGCGCCCCCCGTGCGCACACTCATGCAGCTCAGCATTACGCCCCATACCTGCCAGAAGTCCTGCAGAGAGGGAGGGGCATAAGGGTGGGGGGGTGGGGGGAGGGGGGGGTGGCGAAACGAGGGAAAGGGCGAAATGAGGGCAGGGGTAGGGGCAACAGGAAGGATGAAGGATGGAGGGACGAGAGGATGGAGAGACAAGGAGGAGAGAGAATGGAGGGTTTTATTGGTTACGTGGATGGAGAGAAAGAGAGGGAGAGTTGCGAGAGCACAAGATAATACCAGTACAACAGGACAACAGCAAAACATTACAACATCATGTTATTACACCACTGTGAGAAAGCTATGGCTGAGAGAGAGAGAGAGGGAGAGAGAGAGAGAAACAGCACAGAGAAGCCTACAGTGACAATGTGGCACCGATGTGCTGGTTAACCCTTAGAAGATTACCTCTTCAAGCCTTTGCAACACTTTAAATGTATATTATATAATACTGTTAAGATAATTACATAAAGAATTACCCAGCTAGTTACTAGTTTCTAGGGCTTGGGACAAAATGATTAAGATTTTTACAAGTAATAAAGAAATCACTTTTATTGTTGATAAAATCTGCTTTCAACTGGTCAAAAACGGTTTTGAGCAGACAATAAATAAAAACAGATTACAGCAGGGCTTCTTTTCTGCCTCAAGGTCCACATATTTATCACTCGAGAGCATCAATGCCCTCCTAAAAAACCTTTCTGCATATAAAATTTCATTTTTGGGAAATGTTGAACACAGCTCTGTTTGGGTGCTTAGCCCCATATACGTATCATTCATCAGTAAAGATAACATATCAACAGAATGGCAGTGAATTATGCAATTTTTGTTTTGTTTTTTTATGAGTATCGCGAGAGGACAAATGAAATGTATTTGAGCTACTTTGTTTCTAGAATTTTGTTAAGTCGATGATTTTTCCACAGATTTTTATGACAAATGCCAGCACCAGCCCAATACAGACCAATGGCCCCACTCTAGGTATTGGTCCAAGGACCCCCAAAGCATTTGCAGTCCACTTGTGGTTGAGAACCGCTGGGATACAGAATACTCCATGAAATCCAACGTCCTTGACAACAGAGAACAGCTGGTCATCCAATAATTTTTTTAACAATTAAAAAAAAAACTTTAGCTGACGTTTATGAATTATTTTTTATTTCAAAACCTGTGGCTATGGATGGGGTCAGCAAGCTTGCAGGGACTTCTGTGCATCGAGCGGGATGGTCTGATGGTATCAAACTGGAAATGGAGAAGCTGAGTGTTGTTCCCTCTTCTGATAGTCAGGATGAGCAGTGCTTACAAACTGCTTGTCTAATGTCCCTCAGAGAAACCATGAAAAAGCTCATGCAGCAGACTTTTTTTTTCCATGGTTTACCTGCTGCTGCTCAAACTGTTTGAACTGCGTCTATGCTGACTAGTAACGCAGGATAAAGTAAAAATAATAATAATAATAATAAAGTAAAATAATCATAATCACTGAAATGCTGTGTTAAGCGTGGACACTTTCTGACACTTAGCTGTAGTCCTAATTAATCTTTTGGTTTTTGGCCACAATTTTCATGCCACTTTGCAGCTGAAATGTTTCAGCGGAAATTTTGGTGCATCCCTAGAATGGGCTGTTACTCAGTGTCTGTCCGCACTGGCTAAAAGAAAATGGTTAACTTCAGCCCAATCCCATTTCACCCTTTACCCCAACCGCTTAGCTCTTACCCCACCATTTTGCATGTTCACGTCTAGAGGTAGGGTGTTGTTGAGATAGAGGGGTAGCTATGTGGGATCAACTGAAAGTTTAGAATACGCACTTTCCACAGAATTTCTCCACATTTCAATCAGCTACGAAAAACTAACAAGGTTTTGTTTTCTCTGCCAATAATTGCGACTTCTAAGGGTTAGTGAGACGAGAGAGAGAGAGAGAGAGAGAGAGAGAGCACATGAGTGGATATGAACTTACATTTCAATATAGCTACATACTGGAGGTAAACATACACTGAGTTTTGCAGAGATGATCACAGTGTTAAAGGCACTTTATCCGCACACAAAGTGCCTTCACCACACACACACACACACGTAAATCAACACACACAAACACACACATAGACAGACGCTGTAATTCGACGTTAAAACTCAGTCTTGCTCAGCACCTGCAGAGCTGTAAAACGCTGTTAAGTGAGAGATGAAAAGGTTAAACAAGGCCGCAGTGCGTTCATAAAGCACAGCCCACTACACCGCTACAAATCCAACCACACTTCAGCCAAATTCATTACAGCATCCTATTATACAGTTTAATGAGTACACAGAGAGAGAGAGAGAGAGAGAGAGAGAGAGAGAGAGAGAGAGAGAGAGGGACAGAAGGCTACAGAAACCAAATGAAGCACAAGGATGGATAGAGAGATGGAAATGAAGGAGAGGACAGCCCGTGCTCCACACTTGAACTGAGCACTAGCCATGAAAATTGGTGGAGTCAGAGAGACAGAGAGAAATGCAGAGACGGAGAGAGAGAGAGAGAGAGAGAGAGAGAGAGAGAGTGAAAGAAAAATAGAAAGGAGGGGTATTCTATGCAAAAACTCTGTGGAGTGGAAATTTGGGAGGGAAATAACGCGAGCACAGAGGATCCGGATACGCGAGGCATTTGCCTGAGTGGAGAGGAAGGTCATAAATCCCAGCCGAGACACAGAATCATGTGCTTCTCCTGTTTAAACAATGCATCGATTTTCTTACTGTGTATTGCTGATGTAATCAGATGTGTATGCATTTGTATGTAACATAAGCTAATTGGTGAAATGCTCAAGGACAAAGTGATTAGTATGCAGGTGTGTAGCAACCTGAAATAGAGCAAGGGAAACAAAAAAAAGGGGAAAAACTAAAGGAGGGGGGGGGATACAGAGAGAAACGATGTTCAGCTGTCCTCGTCATGGGCCATTTCCATTGGAAACAGTGTCGAGGCACCTTTCTCTCACCTTTACCTGATGAAGAGGAGAATAACACAGCATCTATTGATCGTCCACCATTTACTCACGTTTCTCATTATGGAACGAGCAGCTGGAGCGCTAGGGGTCTGCTCCGCCCTTCAGCCTGCCTCTGAAAGGGGCAGCAGGAAATCACAGAGAAGAACTGAGAGAGTAGGGCTGTCACTATCGTTTACAATACTGAGTAATCTACTGACCATTTTGACGAGTAATCATTAAAAAGTTGTATAAAAATGTCAAACAATAAACAGAAACTTGACTATACAAAAACAAATCATGCACATCCTTTCAAAGGTTCTGAAACACTGAAAAACTAGAAGGTAGATTTAGACCCAACCCCATTTAACCCTTCGCCCCTACCACTTAGCCCTATCCCTCTGTATTGCACGTTCACGTCTGGGGGTGGGGTGTCCCGATTTTAGGGGTGGAGTGTTAGGGTGGAGTGTTAGGGCTACATGGCCCTCCAAACAGAGGTTTTTCAGAGTCTCACTCCAAACAGAAAAAAGAAAAACCGGCAAGATGGCTACGTGAGAAACACACAAATGTGAGTATTTTCCCTGTTAAAAATTACGATAACCACTGTATTATCTTAGTTTAATGTTGTTTCAGTGTATTATGGTCCTTGTCTTTGTAACAAACATAAAGAAATCACTATTAGTATGCTAATCTCTCAGTAGCTAGCTAGCTAGCTAAATTTCCTGTTCCACCTTAAACAGGCCAGCAGTTCTGACGCCTGAAGTACCAGAATGTAACTGCAGCTCCATTTAAGGTGGAACGGAAAAATTTGAACAAGAAGCTGACGAATAGCTGACTTCAGCTTCATATCACTGAATAATAAGGGGTGTGCTATAATAAATAATTGTCCCCCCCTCTTTGAAGGCATATGATTCCCTAAATTTAACTAAAGACCAGCAGCGAGGTTGCTGACCTTTACCCTCCTCTGCCATCAGTTTTTTCTATAGCAGCGCAGGTACCGAACTGAAATTGGTACCACAATATTCTTAAGTAAAGAAAAAAACATGATGACTAGAGCTAATTTACTTCAAATGAAAAAAGCCAAACTTTCAAACTTTTGAGTTTAAAAAAAGAGCCAGCACGGCAGTTTGAGCTCATACAGAATAGTTTGCTCTGGCTGGTGCGACTGTTGGTCACAGAATGTCCACTCTGGTCCGCTGGGCTTGCCAATTCTTTTTCTGGACACTGTAAAAACACATGCCAACATCGCTATGTTGATAACTGTCTTAGACTATCTGTCCTGTCAGTGTGCTCTGTCTTACGCTCATAGGTTTAGCACTTGAGGGGCTGGTCATTGTGGGTTTTAATAATAAAGTTTATTAATAAAGAATTGAGCTTCATGGTATTTCTACTTTGCAAAAAAAATTCAATATCATAAATATCAACTCAGTCAGAATGCTTCTAAAATCAGTCAGACTGTGCTGTGTAAAGGGCGTATGAAGGGCAATCAATCACAGTTGAACCGTTTAGCCACCAACATTCTTTTTGGGATTGTGCACAGTTTTAAATTATACCATGAAGGTTAATAAAACTGCAGTTACAACTTTATAATGACCATGACAAAGATACAGTATCGACTGTGTAACGTCTATGTTATCCAGTCCATTTAATAAGGTCAGTACTGTTGCCAATATCATTCCATTATACGGGATCAGCGTAGGGGTGCAACAAATAATCGACTAAGTCGACTAAAATCGATGACCAAATTAGTTGGCAAATAATTTAATAGTCGATTAGTTGGTGGCATCATCAAGCGTGTTTCTCTCACTAACTAGGAATGTTTTGACATTGCTGCAAACTGGAGAGTTCACAACAGTGTGATGGCAGCCTCGAGAACAAAATCCTTAAAAGCATGACAGCATTTCACGCTTAACTCAGAAAAACAGGCTGTCAGTTATGCTATTTGTAAAGCCAACCTTAGCCAGTACGGGAGCACATACTCCATGTTGGAGCATCTAAAGAGGAATCATTAATGGAGTTGGAACAGACAAGCTAGTAACTTTTATTTACAACGACCCTGTTTACACTCCAAATAACGTTTACAGTTTT